ACCGTGAGATTAGCAGCCTTACTCGTAACCACTATGCTACCAGAGCTCCTTTCCTTTGGTTTGGGAACAACAACAAAAAAAATCTGAAGGGGCAAGATCAGGGATCTAGGGTGGTATAGTAGTTTCCCAACCAAAAACTCCTAAAAAGGCCCTTGATATCCATGAAGAATGAGCAGGTGCAATTTTATGATGGAAAAAAATTCCTCAGAGCAAGTTTCCTGGCTTTTTTCTCACTAGTTTCCTTAAAACTTCATAGTAAGTCCTTGCGAGCATCCTGTGTTCTTTGAGAAAATCTATTACGATTACCTCTTTGGAATCCCCAAAACAGTCAACATAACCTTCAGAGATGACCTCTGCCCAAGCAGATCCCCTCAGAAGCCAGTTTTGAATGGACCTATTGTTTAAAGACACTATAACAAGATTAAGAGTTTGAATTGCTAATCTTGTTACAATCCAGTGCTTATCCTACATTGCTAAACCAGGATGTGGTGCTATAGGATAAACACTTCACTGTTAAATGCAAGGTCAGCAGTTCCAACTCACAAGCCACTCCTTGGAAACCTTATACAGGGCCGCTATGAGTGGGAGCAAACTAGATGACACTTAACAATGAAAGTACAGAAAGGGCATTACAAGTTTATTACTGAGAGAACTTGTCTACAGTCATGCACTGATTCCAAAGAAATGTTTACACACATTTTGTTTGGAATAAGCCAAAATGTGTAAACTGGAACCGTAATAAAACTTTTTGACTTATCCTCGTACTACATACTTTGTGAATCAAACTTAATATGAGGATGCTACTAAAAGTTTGTGAAAGAATTCCATTATCTTTTAATTCCATTTTACCATGAACGTTCGGAGCACCCATGTATGAATGGCTATTACAGCAGCTGTAGTGTGCCGTGGAGTCGGTTCCGACTCATAGCGACCCTGTGTATAGGGTTTCCGAGGCTGTTAATCTTTACGGGAGCAGAAAGCTTCATCTTTCTCCCGTGGAACAGCTGGTAGCTTCGAACTGCTGACCTTGCGGTTCGCAGCCCGATTCGTAACCACTACACTACCAGAGCTCCCAGTAGTAGTAGTAGTTTTATATCATCTATATAAATACACATCAGGAGTCCTGGTATGGCACTATAGGGAAAGCACTGGACTGCTAACCATGAGGTGGTTGTTTCAAATTCAAAAGCTGCTCCTTGGAAACTAAATAGCATTGGTATGAGTCAGAGCCAACTCGAGGATACTTAACAATTTATAAATACAGGTTTTTAAAAAGTGTCCTTATTTTTAAAACTTGTTTAAATGTACATATATATGAATATAGACTCATGGTGTGATACTGTACGATAAGCACTCGACCTAAAGATCAGTTTGCAACCCAATGTCGGCAGTTAATAAGCTGCTCCTCAGAACCCCTATATAGGGTCACTCTGAGTTGGAACTGACTCAATGGCACTGAAAAACAATAATATATGAATGTATTAATAGATTTAATTTTTAAGCAGAATATAAACTTAAACTGAGGAAATAGGTTTGATAGTACAATTTTCCACACAAAATTGCTGAAATTAATTTTATCTGCAGTACCTGGCACAGTCGACCATTTGTCTTGTCAGTTTGTCGTACTGTGGTGGCTTGTGAGTTGCTGTGATTCTGAAAGCTATTTAAATACCAGTAGGTGCTCTGGTAGCGTAGTGGTTACGAATCGGGCTGCGAACCTTAAGGTCAGTGGTTCGAAACAACCAGCCGCTCCGCAGGAGAAAGATGAGGCTTTCTACTCCCGTAAGGATTTACACCGTCGGGAACCCTGTACAGGGTCGCTATGGGTCGGAACCGACTCGAAGGCACTTAACAACAACAAGGATCACCAATGGTGGAC